GTCTAAACACAAAACTAACTTTATGAGTCTAAACAAAAAACTAACTTCATGAGTTAACACACTTTAACACTGTGTGGAATTGAATCAACATCATGTTGGATGTTATTTCACGAACATTTGATGCTTGATTTCCACACTGTCTCACAGTGTCTCACCACGACCCAGAGCTGACTTTTAACCACAGTTTCATCGAGCCTCCCTCCTCTGGTTGGGTCACCGAGGGCTCGTCATTTGACAGTGATGAAGAGGAGGGAGAGGCTCTCTACTGCGTGCCTCCAAGAGAAGGTAGGGGCAGAAACTGCTCATGAGCCAAAATACTGCAGCTAAATGTTTTCTAATCTCTCGTTGACTTCTCCTCTCAGACATCCTGGAAGTGGCCGGAGGCGAGTTCCAGGAGATGAGCTCCAAGTGTAACATGTTCTTGGACCCGTCTGGCTTCAGCAGCGAGGACATCACCTCACCCTTCAACATCCCTCGAACCTCCAGCATTGCTAAGTCCAAGCGCCCGTCTGTCTCGTTCGCCGAAGGCACTCGCTTCAGCCCCAAAGAGAGGCGAGGCTCCGGTCAGGACGTTGGAGCTCCAGTTCGCAGCAAGGCTAAGTCGCCCTGGGGGGTTTTGATGCTGTCGGCCCTCCAAAGCCAAGGAGGTGCAGTAAGAAATGGGGAGGTGGACAGAGCTGAGGGTGAGGAGGAGGAGGCAGAGGAAGATGGGACATATGATCAAGTGACAGATAATATGGAGTCAAGATGTGAGGAAGAGGCCCAGGAAGTAGACCGATCCCAATCTCAGGAGGCCTTGCAAGCTCCTAGGTTGTCGGGACGAAGACGGACTATGTCCAACACTGCTGCTCATAAAGGAACCTCTGATGGGGAGGTGGGGGCACCACGTAAAGTCACCACAGTGTACGTGACAGTGGGTAAGGCAGGCCGGCCCCTGACAAAGACTGACTCTAGCTCTGAAGGTCCGGTTCAGGCCATGCTGCGCAGACTGGGCAGCCTGCAGAGACAAAGGGAGCAGGACCCTGGTAAGCCAAGGTCAAAGGCAGCTGAAGGCATCACCAAACCCCCCAGGAGGAAGCTGGGAGCTCGTGCCGCCGTGTGGGAGCAGGGAGGGCCATCTGACGTGTGTAAGCCAATCAGAAGGAAGCGCGCTTCCCACAATCCCTCTAACACATCTGGTCCTGATGAAGCTGTACCTCAAGAGGAGAACCCTTCGAAACACCCACTGTCATCGGTTTTAAAAAGCCGATCAGACGTGGCCACAACTGACTCAGGTTCAGGTCTGAGGCCCGAAGGAGGCACAGGTCAGGGCGACGATGCCGGTTCAGGACAAACTGAGAGCAGCTACCAAACAGTGGGAGCAGCAGGAGACATCATCACCAACGAGGGAGCGGTGGTGAACATGAATGATGAACCCTGCTACGAAAATGTCCTAATTAAATGATCAAAAACATCTGTCAGCAGGTCTGACAGGAAAACAGCAACTCTGACTAAAATACACCTTTTAGAATTATGGTGCTTTTGTAAAAAATAAAAATGCAAAAAACTACAGCTCTAAGGTGTATTGTACAGAATAACACAACTGATAACATTGTTTGTATTTACTTCAGTAATACAACTAAAACTCTCTTGGGTGCTTCTGTCATCTGTATAGATTTATTTTGTTGTATTTGAAACTGGAACTGAGGAAAGTGGACTTTGTTCTCAAACTATAACCCTTCTAACGTTTCTTTTAGCATAAAACCAGCTTTCAAAGCGCTGCTGATGAGTAATAACACTCACTTATGAAATAAACTTTCATCAAATCCTTCATATTTTACTACTCACTGTATCAAATCATGTCAAAAATTGAGAAATAAAAAGTATGCTTAGTAGACACAAACCTTCACAAAACTGATTAGGACATAACTTATTTTATCATATTCATCAGATTTGACTTTCAAACCTCTGAGAGCGTTGCTTTTCTAAACTGAGTGTGTTTTCGGAGCGTTCGCTGATAAAGATGGTCAGCTGATTTCACATTAGATACCTTCTGGTTAAACTTTGGCCGTGTGGACTCTTACTGATTGCTGATGTTTGCTGAAGCTGTTGAGCAACGAGTTGTGAGTTACGCTGAACATGTTTTTGTCACTTTTTTACAGTTTTAGTTTTAAAAATGACTCTTTGTTTACACAGTATTGTAGCCACACACCTAAAAAGAACAGATAAAATATAAAATCTACTTCTTCTCTGCTCCGGCTGTGTTTGAGCAGCCGAGCCAGTACTTGGCGATGGATCTGGGGTACGGGGGCACAGCAGGATCCACTCTCTTTGTCCTCAGGTCCACTCTGTAGTATTTATCTAGAAGCCACAAACAAAGCAGACATTTATTTAAGTGCTAGCGTTACCAGTTTCTCTTACTTTTAACATTGTTCAAAAGTCAGTTTTAGACGACTTGACATGAGATGGGAAGCTGACGGGATATTATAAAATTCCGGGGGGGGGGGGAAAGAAGGCAGATTCAGGATCAGAACTTGAATTTTGTGTGTAACAAGACGAGGCAAGAACAGGAATTAATTAACAGAAACCAGCAGGAGGATCTAACAATGAATTGTGGGTAACAAGGAGTTTATACACTTGTCAGGGTGATGAGTAAACAGGTGTGCTGATTACTGATGAGAGTTAGGTGGTATAAAGAGGTGGAACCACAAACTACGAGGACACCAGGAGGCTTCGGTCAGAACAGATCATAAACTCAGCTGAATAAACAAAACAACGTGACAGGAGTTTTGCGTTTGGCGGCAAGGAGAGCATGAAGAGGATCTGCTGTGATTTTAGACGTTTCCATCTTCCTCGTGTTGACAAATAGGAAACACGTGAAACAAGTTAGTGTAATCAGTTATTTGTGATCAGACCGACGGCTTAAAGATGATTAAATCAGTTCGAGTTGGGCCTCTACGTCCTCACCTTTTTTCAACAAGTTTGTCTAAAAATCAGACGTTTTTGGATCTGGATCTGTTTTTTGGATTACTGTAGATTTCAGCTCACCAAGAACTGACTCGTGGTTTTACGCTAATCTTTATTGTTACAGTTTAATGTTTTAGATCTGCACAGCTAATCATTAGTGTTCCAACTGACCACTGCTTTGACAATGCTAAACGTTTTGTTCTTCATCAAACAAAAATGTCCAGCATCACATGCTTTGTAATGATTTGCTGTTTTATTTATTTTATATACTTGGAAGTTTTAGATCCAAGCAACGCAAACGTGCTGCGTTAGGTCATTCATTCAACCTTTATTTATGCAGGTTAGCTTCGGTGAATCACGAGGACTCATTTAAAAGAGAGACCTGTTTTAGACAAAACCACAGATAAGGTACACAACAATAAACAGCCATAAAATGCACCAGTTTGAGACGGAACAAGTTTGACTGAGTGATGTTGAATGCAGACTGTAAAAGCTGGAAAACCTTAGCAACTGATTTAGCTCGACAATAAACAACTGTATTGTCGGAATAGAAATGCAAGGATGCGCCGGGAATGTTATGACTTACATGTAGATTGTAAAGAGAGTGGGTTCTAAGACTGAGCCTTGTGGCACACCATTACTGATAATTAAATAAGTGGAAGAAGTACCATTGTGTTGAACATGTTGCTTTCAGCCTGAGAGATAATTTGAAAAACAACCGATGGTGTGATCTGAGAAACCAATATCTGAGAGCTTATGGCATAAGATGTTATGATCTACAGTATCAAAAGCTTTAGACAGGTCTAAGTAAAGTGCAGCACAGTAGTCCTTAGCATCCATAAGACATTCTGTTGTGCTGATAGATTATAGCAACTAATCAATCAATACTTTACCTCCTTTGAAGAAGTAAACACTCTGTATTGGCATGTGCCTTTGGAAGAACCGGTCATTTCTGGAGTCATAGTTGCCTCTGTTGTTCTGGTTGTAGCGATCCCAGCGCCTGCTTTGGTCCCAGTCCTGGTCCCGGCGTCTGTCCTGGTCCCGGCGTCTGTCCTGGTCCCAGTCCTGGTCCCAGCGTCTGTCCCAGTCTCGACCGAGCCTCTCCTCCATTTCAATCCTCCTCTCTGCCAGTCTCAGGCCCATCTCCATCCCTCTCTCAGCAAACCCTTGACCCATGTTCATCCCCTGCTCAGCCCAGGAGGGCGACCGGTTCCACCTCCTCTGACCCCTCTGCCGTCCGATCTGTTGGCCCCACTGTTGGTCAGGCTGGTAATCAGACCACCTCCCTGACCTCCAGGGAGCGATGTAGATTCTACCAGCCATGGTGGCATCCACCGGAGCCTCAAGGCCTTTCCAGTCTCTGTTTATGAAGTGGTGTTTGTCTCGATGCTGCGGCACTGAAGAAGAGGAAACAGGTCAATACGCAGCCTCAGGTCATCTACAAACAAAAGTCCTCAAGAGTAACTTACAGTCAGAGAAGAGCTCGGTGAAGAAGCGCTCATAGTTGCTGTAGTATAGATCCGTGTAGCGCCTGAACTGTGTAGATGGAGACCTCTCAGACATGGTGGAACACTCCTCATGGGAAGGCTGGTGCAAAAACTCGTAGACATAATACTGGTCACCTGGACAGACCGGCAGCAAGACAGCTAACATCTGGGTTCATGATAACGAGCTTCTGTTAGCATGCCGTGACCCTACCTTTGAAAAAGTACACCTTCTCTTTTCCGTGGTGATTGTGAGCCGGCAGAGCGAACGCTGCATCCACGTGATCGGGAATCTTCTCAAAACCAACACTGATTTCTCGAGGATAGTCATCGTCCAGCACGCCGTTGTTGAACCTCCAGTACTTGTCTCCCTGACGAAAGACTTGATTCAGACAACAAACCTTGAGGTCTGATGTGAACTTATACGTGCCCTCACCTGAAAGACATAAGTCTTCCCCTGGCAGTTGATGCGAGTGAACGCAGCATCGATGGGCCCCACGATGCCCCACACGTCCTTTATGAGCTTTGGATAACCAGGAAGCACTGCATTCTGGTCCAGCTCAAAGAAGTACTCCCCTGTAAACCAAGCTCGTCACAACTGATCTAGACCACCTGGGATCTGAACTACCTGCCTGAACACCAGAGATACGACTCACCTCTGAAGGCGTAGGTGGAGCCGTTTTTCAGCTGTGTGAAGGAGTCAAAAGGTCTGCCGCTGCAGACCTCAGCGTCTGGGTCCGGGGCTGGCGTGATGGGAACTGTGGTGGTCTCAGCTGTTACAGGAGTTTGAAGAGGTTCCTTTGCAGCAGAGGGTTCAGTTTTGGGTGGATCAGTGCGTGAAGCAGGTGTGACTCTGGCATTCGATAGCTGTGGGGGTTTGGTCATGTGCAGGATGGTTTCTGGAGGTGGATCCAGTCTGCGGTTGAAGTCTGGGACAGGAGGCTGCGAGGGCGTGACCCCTGAAGGTCCAGATGGAGTGGCGCCTTCAGACAAGTCGTCATCATCTTCCGCCAACACAAACATGTCTCCACGAGCTGAAGGGAGGAACAAGCACATGTTTCCGACCGAATCAAGTCGAGAGCATCACCACAGGACAAGACGTGGAACAAACGAGCAGCGAGGTTTCTTACTCGTCCTCCCACAGACGGCCTCGTAGTCCGAGCAGCAGCTATTGTAATATTTACACATGGAGTCGCACTGACACGTCCTCTGAGAGTCGAAACCATTCTCACAACGGCCCAAACAGGACTCTAAAGACAAGAACAGACATCACAGCTCCCACAATATTACTATTAATCATTTCAGCTCCTTGTTCCCCGTTTGATTCAACGAATCACAGCAAAAATCAGGTTTTTTGATTAAGTTCCAACTGTTCAGTTAAATCCAACAAAGTTCAGTCAGGTCATGTGGACAGGTTCCTTTTTTTGTTGTTGAGATGTATCTTCCTTCATCTAAAGGACTTCATCAGTCTGAGGAGCCACATCAAACTCAGTCCCACAAGCAGCACACTCACATAGTGGACCAACCAGTTTGCTGGTGATAAGATGGTTTCTGGAGTCAGCCCTCTCCTCCGTCGACTCCTCTGAGGCAGCCATAGCCAAAGTGGTTCAAACCATTTTTTGACCATTGTTGTGGTGCCTCGGACTGATGAAGGACGAAACATCGCAACAAAAAAATAAACCGTCCAGATGACCTGATTTAACTTAGTTGGATTTTTTTTACCTGGATTATTGAGCATGAACTGTGATATTTAGTTAACGTTCCCATGGTTGTAGGCACTGGTTCTGGTAATCTGTTAGACTTTTCTGGATCAAATAAACACCTTTAAGGCAAGGCACTAAAAAGTCTATGTGTTTGTTTATTTACTGGTTTGTTTCTTTTTAGTTGCAACAGCTTGGTGCACATAAGTGACCAAAAAGACGTTGTCTTCAGGTTAGTTCGTTTCAAGGAAGCAAGCCGAGATTATATTTGTTTTTCAATTCATTTTAGCCCAAACTTGAGCAAATGCTAATCTCTCACAACACACTGTTATGAAATGTTAACATTTTTATAAACAGACTGAATCAATAATCTGATAGTGTTAGGCAATTTGGAAAGCGTAGTATAACAGCTAAAGTCTGGTCTGTTTGGGTAAACAAATACTACAATAAATACACAGATTAGTCTGTCGTTTCATGTACTTTAAAGTACGGACACAGTTGTCGAGTACAGGTATCCGCTGAAGCAGGTTTTGGTGGTGATACTCACCGTCTGCGGCCTCAGAGATCAGAGCGAGCAGCAGGAGGATGAACAGCCTCATGTTGTGTCTGCTGACAGACTGACGGAGTAACGACGAGCCACGGACTCTCAGTTATTGGAAACTCGAGACAGTCGACCCTCTGCTGTTTACTTTAACCTCATTTCTCAGAGAAACAGATCGATGAGACAAAGGGTGAACCCATCTGAAAGTCTGGTGACCGCATGGTTTGTCATTTTTACTGCAGTTCATGCCTCATGTTGTGATTTCTGCAGATGGATACGTCTAAAATTAAATGCACGGTTTAATCTTGTTACGCAGAGTCTTTATGAGGCCTAATGGGGCCAGGACAATTACTGAGCTGCTATTAAAATATTTTAAATCAGATGAAAACGCTTCGAATTCGATCATTTTTGTCACTTGGAGTTTTTAGCCATAACCTGCAGCCACGAACAATCACTTCCTTATAGGTGAGAATTTGTGTAAATCTTTGTCCACGCTGACAAGACGATTAGGATCTCTAAAGTTACAACGTTTTTTTTTAACCAGAACCTGCAGTTTGTGTGATATTTGTGGACACAACTCTGGCATGAAGTCACAGAAGTGAAGGAGAGACAAACAAAAATATTGAGGCGAAGCAAAACAAGAAGAAATTGAAATAAAAAATGCTGAATGTGTATTAAAAAAATGTAAAATAAAGGAAGTGATGAAGAAAGGTTCAGAATCAGTAAACTAGGTTGAATCATGACGGACTTTTTTTCTAGACGATAATTATATTTATCATTATAATTATTTTTTTAATAAAAGAAAGCAGCTATAATGATCTCCAGGAAAGATTAAATAAATTAAAAATGTTGCATCCTGTCAATTAAAAAAAGCCCCCCATCTTTCATCTTATTTTGAAAAGTGAGTTTTATCCTTTTTTGTTTTCACCTCATCTGTCAGCTCTGGATAACTCTCAGCTACGACCACCCCACGTTTCAGCTCAGTGTTTGTAAAACTGATTTAGTTGTGGCCCTTTTTGGGTCAGACAAGATCGATTAGCTGTGGCAGCCGTCTTAAATCAGGTTGACTCCAAATGCCAACCAGTTGTAGATGTACATTCAGTGATAACCTTTTGAGAGTATCATTAAAAAGCGTGCACTGGTTGGTGAGATATTTTGCTAACAGACAGGCAGACAACATTAAAGCTGGTCCAGATCTCAGCTGAATTAAAAATAAACAGGAAATAAAACAAACTGTTCCTGTGAAATCAAACAGCGGCCTGATCATCATTTAGGAGTGGATCTCTGATGGATCTCTGATGGATCACTGATGTTTTTCTCCAGTTTTTCCAGCAGAGGCTCTGCAGTGTTTACTTTACACAGACTCCTCTGCGCATGCTCAGACCGGGTTGAGAGCAAGGTGGAGGAAAGTGAGCGCTTCTTTTTGTTCTTTGGGCATCTTTTGTTTTTTTTACAACATCCGGTGGAAACCTACAGAAACACCAGCTGGTCCAGACCGAGTGATGAGTTTGTGTAAACATGTGTTTACCTCTGCGTGTAAACAACCAGAGCCTGTAAACACCCTCTGTTAGATAGATGCTCCTTTTCCTGCTCCTCTTCCTGCTCAGGCTCCGTCGACATCTGTCCTTCATGTTCAGCTCGGACAGACTCTCTGTTCCGGATTATGTCACCCGGCTGCAGCGGGGCAGGAGCGGCTCCGAGCCCAAGCCCGTGTCCCCGGGCGTGCACGCGGATGTCCAGGCCGCCCTGGACGCGTCGCTCCCCGCCCTGCGCTCCGCCATCAGGAGGCTGAGGTCGGCCAAGGAGCAGTCCGACTCGGACGAGACCCGCGGGGCCGTGGCGGAGATCTATCAGCTGGTGGAGGAGGCCTGGGTTTTACCCGCCGTGGGACGCCGGGTGGCCGAGGAGATCTGCACCAGGATCCGGCTGGACGGGGGCCTGGAGCTGCTGCTTCAGCTGCAGCAGAGTCCTGATATGGAGATCATGTATGAAGCTGCAAAACTGCTGGAGCAGATCCTGATCTCTGAGAACAGGTAACTGACCCTGAACCAGAGTGACCCTGAACCAGAAAAAAGACCCTGAACCAGAGAGCAGGTACTGACCCTGAACCAGAGAAAAGACCTTGAACTAGAGAGCAGGTACTGACCCTGAACCAGAGAACAGA